ATTGTTGGAGTCTATAGACATATGTACGTAGTCGACTATTAATAGATAAATCAGTCACAACATAGACTGGTTGATTTGCTCCCTTAGTTATATAAAAAGACAAGGAGAGAAAGAGACTCTTTAAAGGCCTGTCATCATTACGTTCCTACTTGTTTCATTGGAGTGTTCAAATCAATTATCTGGCAGCAATGAGTGCTATTAAAGAAATCAGTTCAGTCGGCATTAACTTTTGAGTTGTCGGTGTTAAAAATGTGCCTTTTGCCAGAATAAAAGGATCCTTTTTTTTTATGCGGGGGATGTGAACACATAGTCTTGTTTTTCATTTCTTTTCCTCCTTTATTCTTCTCCACCTGGCATCAGGACAGTGCACTGTGTGTGCTGGTTGTGTAAATGGGTCAGGGACAAGCTGTCCTGTCAACCACTGGTTGGATGAAGAGTACACCTCGCCTCTCTCCAGCTGTTAGAGCAGTCGCATTGCGGCGATGCGCAACTGATTTGACTCTTGTCATCCCATTGCATTTCTCCTGACCTCATTTGGAGTCTGTGCATATTCTTGTGTTTATTAAGTTGTGTCTTTGTCTCCTTTTTCCACCCTTTGCTCTTTTAGCTGTGCCCTCTTTTCTCAAATCGATCCCTTATCAACCCATCTATCTTAAGCAAAAGTTGGAGCGTATATTTTTTGTCTCCACATGACACTCAACATGGTGACAGCTGAGCCAACAGCTCCCAGCTAACGGTGCTAAAAGCCTTAACGGTGCAATCAACAGCAACAGTGCAGACAGACAGTGTTACTCTGAGGGGACGCCACCCTTCGATTACGATTACGTCATCATGAGCTGTAACAGCCGTATGAGTGCGGTGGACAGTGGTGGCTGTGAGCCAGCCAGTGGGGCACGCTCACGTGCACTAGTGTGCACTAAAAGGCATGAGCAGCCAGCGCGGCTTTGAAAACGAAGCACAGAGAGGCTCGGATAGCGACACACTCAAAGGGAGAGAGACTTCATTCTCTGCTCAGGCAGACGTTACTCCACTATATCTTTACATAGCGAATAGTTGTTTGCTGCTATATCAATGCTCTTAATGTTGAATAAAGGCCCTTTTAGCAGCAATACAGATGCTGAGTAAAAAAAACAAACTAGAATCTGGGTTATGGCCATCAGCATCTCTCTATAGAATAGTGCTCTAGAAGCTTCCAATCAACGGGACAACTTCTTTCAAAATAGCATTTATAACCATTTATAGGTTAAAAATATTTGTATTCATCTCAGCCCTTTTCTGTTTTGTACATCTTATGAATGTTTGTGATGCACTGATAATGATATCGGATATCAGTCTGATACTGACTTAATTAGCTGGATTGGATATCGGAGACAATAGGCTGATCTGGTATTGGATACCATTGTTTTAATACATATAATAATTTGTATCTATGTATTTATTTGTTACATTTTGTAAAAAAAAAAAAAGGTGATGTTTAAGTCAGGCCTGATGTTGCCTTACACATGAAGGAATATTACCAGTCGCTTCCACACAGCGAGGCTTACAGCTTATTAATTAAACACTGGTATCAGATCAGTACTCGGTATCGGCTGATACCAAAAGTCCAGATATCAATATCAGGGCTGAAAAAATCGGATCGGTGCATGTCTGGTTTCCATCTCTCTTCAATGATACACCTGACAGGTCTGGATTTGGATTGATTTTTCTCTTTTAACTGGACATTCAGATTCATCCTCTCTCTTTCCTCACACACTGTTTTTTTTACGAGGAGTTATTCCAAATATGATTTTTCCATTTTTGCTTGCTTTCCATTAATTAATTTACCGGGTATATTTTTTCACTTGGCTTCGCTCCTTATTTATTTATTTTTATTTTTTTCTACTTCACTGCTATGAATTCTATTTCTGAGTTGTGTGTGGAGGTTGTGATGAGCCAATGCTGCTGTTGTGCACGCATATTTAGGTTTCTTTAGTCTCTTTCACTGTCATTAGACGACCAGTGCTGTGTCATTATGGAGCATAGGCATGGGTGGAAGCAGCAGGAGAACAAGGTTCAGCTCTCTCCCTCTCAAAGATCCTCCTCCGCATGTCCCCCTCTGTCTCTCTGTCCATCTGTCTGTGTCTATTTCTCTCTCTCTCTCTCTCTCTCTTCTACTCTCTCAGAAATACAAATTCTCTCCCTCGGCTCAGATTTGAAATGTTATGCCCCTTTAGTCATGCCCTCTTCTTTCCTGCTGTTTAAGCTGCTGTTCTTGCTTCATTAAGGCCCAAGAGATGATCTTAGCGGCCTGACTCAAAAATAATTAGCTTGATAAACTTATATTTTGAATGAGTAGCAAAGAGAAAGAGAGGAGGACCTCTTTAGGGGTTATTCTCTCATGATACACCAAAATGTTTGTTCCTTAATGCAGCAACATATGTTTTTTTTTCCTGCCCAACAGTATCCCAAAGCAGTTTTTCTCAACAATTATCTAATCATTTATTTTTCCTGTGCTCTTTTGAGGGCCTTGGGGGGCTGATATGTGGCTGTTGTCCAGAGGGTTTAATGTGTTTTTCTCCCCCATGCTCCCCTTCGATTAAAGTTCCCGACTCTCAATCTATCCCACCGCTCAACTCTTTATTGGACTATATTTCCACTTTACTTTTCATCCTCTGTTGTACACTCAAGTGGAAAGAGAAACACATCAAGGGCAAAATGACCTTTGAAATCATCCAGTTCTCCCGGGAAGTTATCACAGCTATTATCACAGAGTTTGAGGAGGCTTTAAGCACTTTGATGAATGAAGAAATCCACAGATGGATGGATTTAGGAATGCATCTCCCCGCAAGTGTATTAAAGCAATAATAAACTGGAGATTTGAAAAAATATGTCATGGCCAGGCAGGAGGTGCAGTGCCTGATGGATTTGGTTGTAAAGAGGACATTAGCTTGAGGTGGGCAATGATTTTATCTTGCTGTGGGAAACGTAACTAAATGCACATTTCTAATCATAATTCCATCATTTGTTATGTGTGCTAGAACACTGGATGCCTTCAGTTCTTGATAAATAGTAATTTGATCATCTTGATTACATCATTGTTGGAATAAACCTGGTTTTATGTGATTATTTTCTAATTAATACTGCACAAGAAATAGTGTATATGCCATGAAAACAGACAAAAGTTGACTGTGGGTACCGATAGTGACCTTTGCAGGATTGTGTGTGTCGTAGTTAAGTGCTAAGCGAGTCCAGCATTTTCTCTGGTTGTAGTCTGGCTTTGCATTGAATGTAAAGACTTTTCTACCAATAGGTTCATACTTGAATTTCCACCCGCATGTTTTCTTATCTGAGGAAAAAAAACAATAAGTTACGTTTTAGCTGCCTTTTATTTCATGTTACTTGCTTTTCTTAGTCTTGAACATCAACTGATTGGAATCCCTAAAGTTATGATTAGGATCTATAAAAAATTCTCTATGATTAGTACAGTTACACTTATTAAAAAAAAGAAAGACATAATGCCATTGCATGTATTTTGTTACTTCACCACTTTTTTTTTATATGGATGAGAAATATTTTTTAATCTAGCAACTGGTGATAATGGGTCCGTGTGCTCATTGCCACCATGGTATTGACTGTTTGATTGCTCTGTGCATGGAAGAACTTCTTCAGTCATATGATCAATTAGCTCAGTACGACCCACCTCACACACACACACACACACACACACACACACACACACACAACTGCAGGGTGTCCCATCTCTACAGCAATTCATACGAGTCATTTTCTAATCCAAAGGTGCAATCACACACCCCTGAGCTTTTGCGAGCCATGGGGAGCTGTGCATATCTGCATGCTCTTCTTCTGTTTCCCATCATGTGTTCAAAAGCCTTATTGTCGGCAGGCTGCTCAGAGCGAAGAGAGCCGTCAACAAGTTGGGGCGGGCTATCGGCACAGATGGCTGAACACACTTCACAAGTATGTGTTTGCTCACATCTGCTCATGTGAGAGGGAGGGGAAAAGACAACGAATCCCGCGTTGCCATAGAAACAAAGAGGAAAGTCCCCCCCCCCTTTCCACCAGCAAATGTTGCTGGGAAAGTGCAGCGTTGGTCTTGGTCTGTGTGGGTCTGACCATGTGGAGTGCTGGTTGTAGCGTCACTCTGGATCTCTGGGAAAACACCCCTCCTCCCTCTCCCCATCGCTTCCTCTTCCTGCTGACTGAATGGATTGCAGTTGTTCGGCCTCTCTTTCATCTGTCTCGTGCGTTGTGAGGAGACCACCAGTGAGCCGGGCCTTTTTCATCCTCGACCTGAGTCATCCACTCTTCCCTCCATAGGATGAAAGGACAGCTACTGAAACTTCTCCCCAGAGGTGGTCAGACAGGAAGCACAGTCACCGACAGTCTGTCTGGTTATGTGCCTGTAGACATGTAACAGTGGCTCTTTGTCATTTGAATCATGTCTCTCCATGCGCGTCCATGTCAGATGGCCAAGTGAATGGTGTAATAATCCTAATGACCCCTTTGCAGGTTTAAATTTTCGGCCTGTACAGTAGATGTGTGTGTGTCCCTCTAACAGGAGGGTGCCAGAATCGAAAGGGAGAAAGAACAGTAATTATGGCCTTCCATGTTCAGCAGAAACATCAGAGGGAAGTAATTTGTTGCTCTATATTTAATCAGTGGAGATAACGAGTCTGACTGCAGCTGTCTGGGGCTATGGGCGGACAAGCAGAAACACCATTTCCTCCAAAACCCATTAGTTTTAATGTGGCCAGCCACTGTGTCTTATTTCCTTACTTTTCAGGGTTCAAATAATGGTTATCACCTTTTCTGTCTCAAATTTGCTCCACTGACCACACAATCGTCTTCAACCTTTACTCTATTCTCTTTTTATCTCCCAGCCTTCCACTTGTTTCTTCTCATCCTCTGTTCCTTGACTTGACTGCATAAAATAAGTAATTTTTTCTTCTTTCACCCCCCCCCCTGTCTTTGTCTCTGCCCATCTCTGCACACCTCTCCAAGGGTGCAAGTAGAGTTCTATGTGAATGAGAACACTTTCAAGGAGCGCCTCAAGCTGTTCTTCATCAAAAACCAAAGATCCAGTGAGTTGAATTTTGTTTGGATCCCATTTTTCTCTGTCTGCATGCAGTATGGAGATGTTGCTCTTGTTTTTCATTGAGGAGATGTCTTTCTCTTTAGTGTGTGGTGTGCTGTCGCTCTTGCTGTGCATCACCAGTTGTCCGCTCTTTGTGACTGTTGTATACGTCTGTGTGGTGATTTAGATTCTCTGTGTCCTCATTTATAGACATGTCATTCCTTTTATGTTTATTTTCTCTTGTGTGCATACAGGCATTAAACAGTAATAAATAATTGTAGCTTTGGTCTGTTTTTATTAAGGGGTTGAATCACTGCTTCAATATTAGTGACATAAACTGAGGTGAAAGAGATACAATATTAACTTTCAGCAGACAAGATAAAATAATATATACATTTTCTGCTGCATTAAGGCAACCTTTTTCAAGCATGGCTGCAAATGCTTTATTGAAAATATGTGATGAATTATATATTGATGAACAGTCTGAGGCACTGGTGGTGATGATAAATGGCTTCTGAGCTGCTGTCGGTTCCCCCGATCGCTTCTGTTCTTGTTTGTTTTATTTGTGTTGTCCTCCAATTATTTGTATTGGGTGTATGCAGCAAATAATTGTACAGAGCTTAATTTTCGTATTAAAAGACTAATAACATGTGTCTTTACAAATTCAGCAGCTGATACTTATTCACAACAACTGATTGTCTTCTTTTCTTCCATTTCAGGTCTACGAGTGCGAATGTTTAACTTTTCTCTGAAAGTGCTGAGCTGCCTCCTCTACATTGTCAGAGTCCTGTTGGACAACCCGCAAGACGGAAGACAGGACTGGTGAGAGAACTGGTGATAACAGACCGGCTTAATGAGGTGAAACAGTGTCTTTGCGAGTGTGGAGGCCTGATAGCAGGAACAAGTGCACCGGGTCAACAACAGATGCGATAACAGTGTATATAGAGTATCCTTCAAAAGGAGTGGATGGGAGACGAGAGGGGGTGGAGATGCAATCAGGGGAGAAAACCGATATTTGGACTGAGCCGAGGGTCCAGTTTTGGTGAGAGACGCTGGTCAGTAATATACCTTTCTTTCCTGCAGCGGGAGCGGAGTAAACTGCACCAAACAGAACACGTCATCCCGTCCTTGGAGTGCGTTTGACTGGTAAGCATGCAAGCCTCTAATTAGAAGTGATGGCTTCAACCTGAAGACAATGACCATGAAAGCGCACACCCTGGAGGACTGGCAACACCGGCCGCATGGTCGGAAACGTTGTTTAATGCAATCAATGCAACTACGCTTCACTAATGCAACTCACAATGCTGATATTGAGCATTACACATCCACATTCATTCGTCACACTCCAACTGTATGGATTACCTGTCAACATAATATGTATGTAGTGCCTGCGCAGCCTAATCAACGAGTGATCTAGTGGAGATGAAGCAGGTAATATGCAGCAGAAGAGAGAGGGAGAGAAAGCAGGAAGTGCGCATGGACCTGAGGCTCTGCCATGTCTCCTGCTCAGGGACCTATTGATCTAATTGGTGGCTGGTGACACTGGCTAAGCTCTGGCTCCAAATGAATAAGGAGCCTGACAGGGTGAGCTCAGGAAAGGGATGGGCCGCCTCCTGCTCCAGGCAGCAGACTCATAGGAGCAAATCAGACCAGGCAAACAACCACGATAAGCCCCAGGGTGTCTTTGGGGGGAAAAAGGGCCTTTCTCTCACAGGCTGTAAATATCCATTTGACTGTGTGAATATTACTTTCCTCCGACAACATGCGCACATTGGCAGCTGGGCACTGCACTGCTGTTCAGTTGTGACCAGCCTAATTACATTTATTTTGTCTATTTTGGTGGTCTAATTTTTGCCTCGTCTCCCACTATCTTTTCTTTCCTTTTCTTTTGCTCTGCAGGAAACTGATCATCTGGGTGGATAGACCTCTACCGCTGTGGGCACTGCAGGTCAGATAGATCACTAGATAGATCAACAGATCAACCTCAGTCTTTTAACACACATATCTGCATGCACAACACACACTCACACAGTGGTGCATGTCTTCATTTCTGCATTTATTGGTTGATTTAATTACGTACTGAAACACATAACATCAGATCACCTTACCCGACACGTATTCACACGTGCGGCGTGATTACACACATATATGTACACAACCAGACACCAGGCTGTCTCTTGCTTCTCTTAAATCTGTTCCCTGTGAAGCTCAATCATCAGCACGCCTACTGATTCCGCCCACACTCTCCTCTGCGACTCCTAATTTCTCTCTGCTCCGGTCTCTCTCCGACTCCTCTCTGCGTCTGCGTCTCTCAATTCCTCCGTAACTCTCTCGCTCTCTTTTTTTTTTTTTTGCAGGTGCTTGTTGCTTTCATCAGCTTTTCAGAAACTATGTTGCTCGTGTATCTCAGCTACAAGGTGAGTAACTCATGACCCCCAACAACCTTTTGTGATGTCTGCATCTCTGATGTCTACATGTGGGGCGTGCGTGGGCGTCCATGCATGCAATATGCTTGAAGGTTAGTGTTTGTCCACTTTGCGCTCCTTTCTGTGTTCACTCTGCTAAACAGAAGTTTTCCTTTCTCCCCTGAGGCTCCTCCTTTGCTCCTGCATTTGGAAAGTCCCTCAGCGGGCCTTGAGGCTTCCTTATGATTATCCTGTTATTGACACATCAGAGAGACTTTAGGGGGAGGCCCCTGTGTTGCTGTACCGGGGGGGCCGATCCATCAACGGGTTGCCCTGCTTTTGATGTACCTGACACTATAAGCCTATAAAGGGCTCACTCTGCAGATTACTCTGGGGGTTATAGAGGCCTTAGCATTTAGAGGTGACGGATTCCTGCGGACATACCCTGTGCCTGTCCACCTACACTAGTCAGATTCACATCAGCCATATGCACGTGGCAGACACATAACAAATCCATGGCTGACATCTTAATTGAACGGCAAAGCTCACAGGAAACTGAGTAATGCTGCTGTTTCTCTCAAGCGGCACAAGGGAGTTGTATAACCCTTTATGCATCACGACCACTTCTATGGCGATACAGTCGGTCAATTTGTTCCCCTTCCACGCAATCAGGCCTGCTATGTGGTAATTCCCGAAGGTCGCCATGACAATGGAGTTGCCTGACCCCCTGTGTGTGCTTTGCGTTTCCAGGGCAACGTTTGGGAGCAAGTGTTACGTGTCCCCTTCATTCTGGAGATGATCAGCGCCATTCCCTTCATGATCACCGTGAGTGGAAGCACCGACAGCACTCGAGCGTCGCAGAGCACGCGCGCCACACGTTTTAACACCCGCCGCTGTAACACAGAAAGGAAATCACGACAGGCAGCATTCTCACACGGCCCTTTTCCTTGAGAGAGATTCTGTGATTGTGTACCAACATGTGAGAAAAATGTGATGAGACAGCCACGACGCTTTCTCCTCTCTTCAGGTAATTTTGCCGTCCTTCAGAAATCTCTTCATCCCCGTATTTCTCAATTGCTGGCTGGCCAAACACGCTTTGGAGAACATGATAGTGAGTGAAGCACTATCTCCCTATCCAATTTTTTCATTACTTTCATCTTGACGTTGCTGTTATGTTATTCTGTTGGCATGCGATTGCTCCTCTTTGTCTGTGCCATTTCAGCTCACCAGCTCTTTCTGCCATGAAGGTAAAACACTCACAAAACATTTAGTTGCACCTTGGGCTTGGTATTTATGTTTTTCACTCCATCTGTGTCTCCATCTGTGCGATGACATCCAAGCTTCACACTTTTTAATAAGCTGTCTCCGTCTCTGCTCTATATATTCCAATACTCTGCCATATTTCCTACTATCTACTGTGTTTTATCCTCATTTTACACTTTAACAATGCAGCATTTGGGCTGCTGTGGTTTCCATGCGCTGCCTCACATCTGTGTGCGTCTCTCTGCAGAATGATCTCCACAGGGCGATTCAGCGGACCCACTCGGCCATGTTTAACCAGGTGGTGATACTCATCAGCACGCTGGTCTGCCTCATGTTTACGTGGTGGGTACCCTCGCTGCTGACACTGAACTGAAAGAGTGGCAACCAGGAAAGAAAAAGATAGACATGAAATGGAGGTTGGACAGGAAGTGAAAGGTGTCACAGCTGTGGACAGGGTGAGGAAAAGAGCAGAAAGAGGGTGAGGTGGACAACGGAAGCAAATCAATAGTACGACACATGTAGAGAAAAAAATGAAATTGCAGCTCATTGAGCGAAAAGACAGAAAGCAGAGAGGTAACTATGAAATGACAGCTGGCGATTGCTTCAGTGCAGCGGAGGATGTGTCAGCTTGCTGTATATATATATATATATATGGTGTGAGCTAATCCAGAAGATCCTACACAGCATGATTTAAGCTCTCTGACCATTTGACATTAACCTGTTTACTCGTCTATCCTTTAAAGAACACAATACTTCACCCAGCATGTGAAGTCTGACCCGATGCTCACTTCTTCTTCTTACTTTCTTCATCTTTCCCACCCCGTCGACCTCCATCAGCATCTGCGGTATCCAACACCTCGAACGAGCGGGCAACAACCTGACCCTGTTCGACTCGCTCTACTTCTGTGTGGTCACTTTCTCCACGGTGGGCTTTGGAGATGTCACCCCCCAGATTTGGCCCTCACAACTCCTGGTAGTCATCATGATCTTTGTGGCGCTCATCGTGCTTCCCATCCAGGTGAGAAACGATGGCGGTAAGCTCAAACGCAATCACAGGCAGGAGATAAAAAATTAGTAGGAAAGTTTGAAAGTAATACAACAAACAAAGATATGGCTATAAAACACAAAGTTTAAAAGAGGAATTTTAACAAACGTGTCTGTGGATAGATTTTTGCCACCGTGGTATCGGTACCACAATCTTAAAGGATGCAGTCGTGAAAATTTGCATGTAGTTGACATCGAAAGGAAGGTTTGAGTTCGAAGCGAGGTGTTGTCAGAGCAAGGGTGCCAGAGGAAGGAGGGCAGGAACTAGGGAAGGGTCCATTGGTCTTCCCACTTTACTGCACTGGCCCAAATTTGGCATCACTGCTTTTGTGATCCCGTCGTCTCATATTTTATTTCCAATTTAACTTTTGGAGCAGCCAACAGGAGCTCTGTCAGGCTGTCAGGCCTTTAAAATGATCAGAAAAAAATCTTAAAATCATTCCTCAAATTGACAGATGGGATAGCTCAAGTACAGTAAAGTTATCTTTGTTCATAATTCTTGAATTTCCTCTCTTGCACAATAATGTGATGACTCATTGCATCCTACGTAGATCTACAGCAGCTATTTTTACTCGGAGAACGGCGAGAGTGTCTTCCTTACTCTCTCAATTCCCCAAATCCCTCTCCTGTCATTTAGGTGCTTCACCGAAGGAACTTCAGATTAGAGAACAACACGAGACGTTTACACACACACATTCACACATTATAGTATTTCTGCAGGGACTGATGAAAACACCTTGACAAACAGTTGCAAAAGTGCTAATGGGATGCATTTCCAGTGTGTGTGTGCCTCTCTGGTCAGGAAATCACACTACTGATAAACAGTAGTTGGTTTGCTGGCATTCTTGTTTTTTTGCAAATTGGATTTTGTGATGACGCTACACGTCTTTGATAGCTTTTCTCTTTTTAATCGTGTCACATGCGTAGGTGTAGGGCTCGCATCCCACGCAGCATTATGGCTGTCGGACACACACTCTCTGTTTTGTTTTTCCCATCAGCTGTGACCTGGTGGCAGCAAATATCTTCACAACAACAAATGACACAAGCACGAAGAAACAAGTTAAGCGAAGGAACTCGCTTAACTTGCACTAACCGACTCATATAGGAATGGCGATATGTGCATCACCAACATGGATGCCATGTCATCCTCCCCACTTCCTCTCCCCATCTTTCATCCATAAATACCCTTTGACATTTAGAAACTGGCCCCCCTGAGCTCCAACCCCCACCCTGTGCGGGGGCGTGTGTGTGTGCGTTTGTGTGTGTGTGTGTGTGTGTGTGTGTGTGTGTGTGTGTGTGTGTGTCCGCCATGACCGGTCTCCAGGCTGCACAGGGAAGCCACAGAGCACATCAGGATTCAGCTCCTGTCCTTTTCTTATTGCTGTCTCTATTGGTTTTCCTGTACTTGTCCTCGACACACCACAGGACATGTACCTCTTGACGAGTCATTTTGTGTAATATTGAGAACAAATGAAAAGTGTATTGATTTGAAAATAGAAAAAAATAATTAAAAAGCCAACCATTTTGGTGGCTGCATTTGGAGACTTTCCTTGAAATAAATCACGGCACTCTAAAACAGATCTCACAAATCTGCCACAGTTGGTGCCATCGAGAACTGGCTGCACACAAATGATGGCTGAAAAAACGCTATTGTAATATGATTATGTGTGCCTGACGGTGTTTTCCAACACTATAGCTGACGTGATCTCAGCTCAAAAAGCGATCTGACTAAAATGCGCACAAATGAACTCAGTCTATTGAATTCTGTGGACGTGTCTGAGGTGTATATTTAGAAACATTAGCAGCCGTTCATTGCTATACTGTTGCTGCTCAAGAGCCGACATCCTCCATTACAGCTGGCAGAGGGTTCAATAAATCAGCTCGTCACCTGTTTAGTATCGACTTCATGTCACTTGAATTAAGAAGAGTCTTGACACTAAGGGCCTTGAGAGGGAAGGATGAGCAGTCTCTGCCACTAACTGTTTTTAAATTTTTATTGGTATTTTATCTTTAATCCAGAAAAAAAACAATGACACAGATATCTGGTTTAATATCTGATTTCAAAAATAGCCATTGCAAGAAAAACACCTTATGTAGTTCAAAATAACAAACATTTGGACAGAGCCAGGCTAGCTGTTTGTTTGTCTTGTGCTAAGCTAAAGTAACCGGTTGCTGGGCGTGACTTCATGATTACTTTACAGACATGAGAATGGCATCAGTCTTATTCTATTGCTCAATCAGAAGCTTAGTTGTGTTTTTTTTTTTTTTTGCAAATTTAACAAATGCCTTTTCACTGTAAAATATCCGGCTATTTTCAGTGGAATGTCTAAAAAACAAAACATCCCTTGGCTCTTTCTTGCATCTCTTCATCTGTTAAATCCCACCATCCATCTACACACTCAGCCCTCCAGAATTCTGCTCAGGCTTATTGATGTTTCCTTAACCTACCTACCTTCCTGTTAATGTCGGCTATCATGTTCCATTCAGCCACCGTCCTGAACCCAATGTCCACTTTTCTTTATTACCCCAAACACTCTCCCTAATCAAACAGAAACACTACTCCATATTAGGCATTGTTTTTTTTTTTTCTTAAGCCACCTGGTTCCTCCCTGTATTTTCATCTAACTTAATCCAATTTCCATCCGTTGAATGTGATGGATGTCGTCCTGAATGCAGTTCGAGCAGCTGGCCTTTCTGTGGATGGAGCGGCAGAAGTCCGGGGGGAACTACAGCCGCTACAGGGCGCAGACGGAGAAACACGTGGTGTTGTGTGTCAGCTGTCTCAAAATCGACCTCCTCATGGACTTCCTCAATGAGTTCTTTGCTCACCCCCGACTGCAGGTCTGCCAAACTGATGTTAAGCAGGACAAGAAAGTGTTCGGGGGTCCTGTGTTTGTTGTCTGTAATCCTCTTCAGGAGCCCGAACAGCTGAGGTTAAAGCAGAGGATTAATTCAGCAATAGCAAGGATCAAACTGCTGTCTTATTCATGTCGGAGCAGATGTGTGTGTGTGTGTGTGTTTTCCTGAGGGTGCATCCTTGTGTGCACATCTCTTTGTTCAATAATGGTGTGTCTGATTTGATTTGTCATCAGCACATCAAAGGGCTGGGGTTATAAGGAGAATCAGGTTCAGGTAGTAGTTAAAGTTTAAGTCCTCCACTCAAATAAAGGTTTTTGCATATAGTCCCTACACTTGGATGTTTAACCTTCACTGTGCACAATGATGAACTTGCACAGTGACACCAGAATTGATCTGTTGAGGGGGGGAAGTATTAGTTTAAGGTGTGGTAATTGAAGCAGCTAGTGACGTTAAAAGTGCACATACACTGAGGGTGGGCTTCTCTCATGTCTCTTTGCTGTCCTCTGCAGTACGCTCTCAAGCATCTTCCCTCTGGCAGGCTCATATTACTCAACATCCTTTCACTTGAACATGGCAACAACGCAAGAACAAATGATAACCTGTGACCATGTCTTGCTTGTTGTGAAGCAATCATCAGCCACAGTACAAATTGTGTGTGTGTGTTTGTGTGTAGGATTACTATGTGGTGATCCTTTGCCCAGCAGAGATGGATGTCCAGGTGAGGAGGGTCCTCCACGTCCCTCTTTGGGCCCAGAGAGTCATCTACCTGCAGGGTTCTGCCCTCAAAGACCAGGACCTGATGAGGGCCAAGTGAGTTACTGTGACCAAAAACAACACTCCACAGTCTGATTTTATAGACGTATTGATTTTCATATCTATCGAGAGATATCGATCTGTAGAAGCATTATTATCACACAGTAATTCTGCAACAATCGGGCCCTTGAAAAAGGCCAGAACAGACCCGAGAGCCGTGAAATGAAAGTCCCCACATGCAGAAGCTTGAGCTCATAATTAATACACAAAGCACCTGCAGCCTTGAAGTAATGGCTGTAATTGCAGTTTGAGTCACAATGCTTTTTGTGTACTCCCTGGCTTTTGATAATACAGCCACAGCACCTTAAACTTAAGCTTTGTCACAGTGAAAGAAAAGGAGAAAAAAAAACAGTTTTTAAAAAATCTCCTCCTCTCCTCGCCTTCTCCTATCTCAACCCTGAATAGCGTGGGCTTGAAAGACATATTGGTTTGTTTTTTGTTCTATTGTCCTGCTTCTTTCTCCTTTGTCCTCTCCCTCAATAACATGACAACACCCTCCTTCCCATGTCTTCTCTCCTCATTGCTTCCCCGATTCTCTGTCTCTCTCTCTCCCTCTCTCTGTTTCTCTATCTCTCTCGCTCCCGTGGCCACATGCTCTACTAACTGCCTGCAGGATGGACGATGCTGAGGCCTGCTTTATCCTCAGCAACCGGTTTGAAGTGGACCGCATTGCTGCTGTACGTTCCTCACTGCTTCCCTGTGTCGCCGTGACTCCTCGCACTGCAAAATATCTACATTAAGACTGCTTGCCTGATGATGATGATGATGATGATGATGATGATAATAAGCCTTAAACTGTAGTCTGTCTGCTTTTAGTTTTCTGGGGTGAAGTTCTTCATTAAGAAATCCTCAAAGCAGCTTTGGAAACAAACAGATTCAGCTCATTGGCTGAAGTTTTGTGCTTGTTTTATGTTTTTTTTCACCAAAACACTAATCACACTGTACGAACACCTGAAGCTGAGAATAAACACAGACTGAAAAATATATATGTGCAAAACAAAAGAAAGCAATGTTCTCTCCAGGTGCAGTGTTACACAGCACTGCATTGCCGTGATAGTGCCAGCATGGCTGTAAACACTTAGTCGGGCTTTTTCATTTGGCTGAATTTTCAGCAACTGTCTCATGGCCAGTTTTACGCAGTTCACTGTTCATGGCTTCGCCACATGTTCTGTGCAGCGTTAAATACTTCTGTGTAGAAAGATGTCAGAATTGCATTACTCTGAAATGTTGCAAGGGCCATTTGATTGCACTGAGCCGTCAGTGGTTTAAAGGGGATTATTAAGTGAGGAGCTACAATCTGATGCCTCTGAAGGTGGGTTTCTACCGCTCTCTCTCTCTCTCTCTCTCTCTCTCTCTCTCTCTCTCCTGCCCTTCTTTTCACTCCATCCATCTCAATCCCCTCCATCTCCAATTTTCTCAGGATCATCAGACCATCCTCCGAGCCTGGGCAGTGAAAGACTTTGCTCCAAATTGCCCCCTGTACGTCCAGATTCTCAAGCCGGAGAACAAGTTCCACGTCAAATTTGCAGGTGGGTTAGGCAGCGTGAACTCACAGACACTGACAGTGACTTGAGGTGTGCAAGTCTGCGTGTCCGTTCTTGTTTTGACGCAAGTACGGTTGTTTGATCACATTAGAATGCGGATCATAATGGGATGACACCTACTAAATGTCCTGGCACAGTTTGTGACTAGAGCTGTGTGTTGTTAAAGATGGGTGATTAGGTAAGCATTTTTGTTTTGCTACTCCTGGGTTGCATTAGGACAACATCAGAGGAAGCTGAGCTGTCCTGTCTTCACTTTTATTCCGCCGTGTCCCCCTCTCTACCTGAGTTTGTCAGCTTAATTTGTAAGCCTGAAAAATGGTCTTTTCCATCAGCGTGGCTTTGCAGCACACAGCTCTCCGTCCTCCCAGCTCTGAGGAACAGATTGGTCTGGGCTTGGCTAAAAAGCCCTCTGAGGGATTCTGTGAGTTTTCACATTGCCTTTTGGAGAGAGACCTTTCTTCTCCTTGCTTAACAGAAGACGACAGTCAATCATGCCCGAGTGAAAGAAGAGGAAACAAACTCTCTCTCTCACCCTTTCCTCACACATCTCCCTGCCTACAGCCCTGGAGAACTCAATTCCAGCTTGCCGCCCTCATCCCAGCTGTCTCTATCAATGATTAACGTTTTACTTCCCTGCCTTGGCAAAGAAAATCTCCTTCTTTTTGAGGAGTTTTGCTGTTGCGCTAACAGGACAGATGAGCTCTCCCCCTTTTGCTCCTGCAGCGCCGTTTAAACACCTCACTGCCACAGCCAGACTGTGGCCTTGGTTGTGAGTCTGGCAGGAGTTGTTAGGTAGAAAGATGTTAATTCATGATTTACACCCGTTCTGTATTATATCATCATCTGCTTGCTTAGTAGGGTGAACCTCCCGCTCCTGTGCTGGGAGTCAGAAAGCTCTATCATGCATGTACATTGCTTTGTGTTATCTTACATTGACGTAGTGTTCGACATGTTCAGATATCCTCCTCTTTCATTTTTCAAATAGACAAAAGTCATGCCCTTTTGACACAGCAGCCACTCAGTGCTGAATGTTAAACTCCCTGCAGGTCTATGGTAAAAAACTAAAGGACGTCTTTAAGAACACAAAACACAAAGTTCATGATCATCTATAAAGTCCCTCAAACAATGAAGTCACCAGGTGGACTCAGGGAGCAAATCAGTATGCAGACACATGGACATCACTGTTCAGTACAGATCCCATGTTTTGACACCACTTGGAATATACCCACTAAGTGCTAGTGTGGTGGGAGGCATTAATGAGCAAGAGACACAAGATTTGATTTGATCCACAGCTCAGCGTTCATTAGAAAATATCTGTCGGTGTGATGCTGCAGCAGGGCAGGAAACCATGGGGCGCTGGAGAAACCACACATAATTTGGTGCAGAGTGTTGATTGATTATCTCCCCAGTTTATGTTTTGAACAGCAATAGACGGCCGCCCCTCCGACCTTGGCTCATTGTAGCTGCATGGAGTTGATAGCAGCTCACTCACACAAACAATAACGGCTCACTGATTTAATTAACTCAAACGGTGGACCTGTGGTCAGGTCGTAATTGCAGTCCTGCAGAGGGTGCAAATAACTGCGCTCACATATCTGCATACAGCTTTGATACCAGTCTGTGATTGGAATCAACAGAGTCTAAAGAGATGGGTACAAAGACCCTGTTTTCTAGGCTGACAGAAAGAGAAAAGTGTGTAAGTGTGTGTGTGTGTGTGTGTGTGTGTGTGTGTGTGTGTGTGTGTGTG